TGGTGAGATGTTATTGTGGTGACTCATCAGTGAAGAAGGTGAAGCTTCAGTCCTTGAGAAAGAAATATGAGAATCTCAACATGAAGAATAATGAGAAAGTCTCTGAATACATCTCCAGAATGATTCTGATCACTAATGAGATGAAGGTGTGTGGAGAAACTCTTTCTGAAGAAGCAATCATGGAGAAAGTATTGAGATCCCTTACCCCTCAATTTGATTACATTGTGGTAGCAATAGAACATTCCAAAGATCTGAGCACCATGAGAATTGAAGAGTTGCAGAGCAGTCTAGAAGCGCAAGAGTTGCGTTTGACTGAGAGAACCTCTGAAAAGGAAGTAGAGCAGTAGGCTCTGAAAGCAACTTCTGATAGGAGGTATCAGAAGCAGTCAGAAGCCAGGAGAAGATCTGATGGTGGTCAGAAGTCAGAAAGCTCAACCTCTGATAGACAAAAGATTGCTCAGAAGGGAAAAGAGAAGTATGACAAGAAGAAGATCCAATGTTACTGTTGTAAGAAGTTTGGTCACTTTGCTAGAGATTGTTGGTCAAACAAGGAGAGAAAATCAGAAGAAGCAAATATAGCCAGAAGTTCTGATGATGAATCTGTGCTATTGATGGCCTCTGAATCTGATAGACTGGTGGTATATGGACACTGGTTGTTCAAATCATCTTACTGGAAACAAGAAATGGCTGGTTGACTTTGACTCTGAAAAGAGAACAAAGATCAGATGTGCTGATGACAAATATCTTAATGCAGAAGGTATGGGAAATGTCAGAGTGATTCTGAACAATGGGAAAACAGCATTGATTCAAAACGTGTGGTATGTACCTGACATCAGAAGCAATATGATGAGTGTGGGACAATTAATTGAGAAAGGTTTTTCAGTTACCATGAAGGAAAATCTTCTAAAATTGTATGACTGCAATCAGAAGTTGATTATGGAGTTAGAACAGGGAAGGAATAGAACATTCAAGGTGAATGTCAGAACTGCAGACTCAGAATGTCTTAGTGCAACAAGTGCTGAGAAGGAGAGTGAGTTGTGGCACAGAAGATTTGGTCATTTGAATTTCAAAAGCTTAAAACATCTGAATTCAAAGAAGTTGGTACATGGAATTCCTACAATTAAGAAGCTTGAAAAGTCATGCAAAGTTTGCATGGAAGGAAAACAACCACGATTGCCATTTGCGTCAGAAGCTGCTCCAAGAGCAAAACATGCCTTGGGAGTTGTACATTCTGATGTGTGTGGTCCATTTTCAGTAGCATCAATTTGAGGGAATAAATACTTTGTGTTGTTTGTTGATGAATTCACAAGAATGACATGGGTATCCCTTATTAAGTTTAAACATGAGGTGTTTGATGAATTCAAGAAGTTCAGAATGAAGGCTGAGAATCAGAATGGTCAGAAGTTGAAGATTCTTAAAACTGATGGTGGAGGTGAGTATAACTCCAAAGAGTTCCAGAAGTTCTGTGAGGAGAATGGAATTGAGCATGAAGTTACTGCTCCTTATACCCCTCAACACAGTGGTATTGCTGAAAGAAGAAACTGCACTTTGCCTGATATGGTGAGAAGCATGCTAAAGGAGAAGAAGCTTCCTCAGAAGCTCTGGGGAGAAGCTGTTGCCACTGCAACGTATGTACTCAATAGATATCGTACGAAGAAGTTGAAGGAAATAGTTCCAATACAAAAGTGGACTGGAGATAAGCAAAGTGTTAGTCATCTGAAGGTGTTTGGTTCTGTTTGCTATAAACATGTTCTAGAAGCCAGAAGACAGAAGATGGATGAGAAAAGCAAAGTGATGATTCCGATAGGGTACCACAGCACAGGTGCATACAAGCTCTATTGTCCATAAACCAATAAAATTGAATTCAGTAGAGATGTGATTGTGAAGGAATCAGAAGTTTGGAATTGGGATAAGTCTCAATCTGATTCTGATGTTAGAACTTCTGAAGAAAGGTCAGAGTTAAGAATTTCTGAAGTTGAAGTAAACTCTGACGTTGACTCTGACTCTGATAGTGATTCAAACTCTGGAGAAGACTCAGAAGATGAAGGTGACTCTGATGATCCAGACTCTGATGGCAATTCAGATTTTGGTGGCAATTCAGACTCTGGAAATATGCCAGACTCTGAAGATGGTCAAGGCTCTAGAGGAAGTCAATCATCTGAAGCTAGAAACTCTGAAGCTCAAGACTCTGAACAAGTTCAGAGACCACAAAGAATAAGAAACGTCCCCAGAAGATATGCAGAATTTGACATGCTGCAAGACACTGAAGTAGACTCTGAAGGAGAAGTTATTCAGTGTGCCATGATAGTAGACTCTGAACCCATAAGTACAGAAGAGGCTCTTAAGCAGAAGCTCTGGCTGAAGGCCATGAAAGAAGAACTTGATGCTATAGAGAGAAACAAGACTTGGAAGCTGACAGAACTTCCAAAAGACAAGAAAGCCATCAGCGTCAGATGGGTTTTCAAGCAGAAGTTAAAGCCAGATGGTTCAATTGGCAAACATAAAGCAAGGTTGGTAGCCAGAGGATTTCTACAGAAACCTGGGCTGGATTATTCTGAAGTGTTTGCACCTGTAGCAAGACATGAAACAATCAGAATGGTGATTGCAATAGCTGCTAACAGGAATTAGCCTCTGGTGCATTTAGATGTAAAATCTGCATTTCTGAATGGTCCATTAGAAGAAGAAGTTTACGTGTCACAACCTCCTGGATTTGTGAAAAAGAATCAGGAAGGGATGGTGTACAGATTATACAAAGCTCTATATGGACTGAAACAAGCGCCCAGAGCTTGGAATCAAAAGATTGATTCATTTTTCAAGAAGCAAGGCTTTCAGAAATGTGAGATGGAGTACGGTGTCTATGTTCAGCATACTTCTGAAGGCAATACGACTCTGGTATGTTTATATGTTGATGATATACTATTGACTGGAAGTTCTGAACAGGAGATAGCCAAGTTCAAGAAAGTTCTGATGAATGAATTTGAAATGACTGATCTAGGAAAAATGACATACTTTCTAGGGATGGAGTTCAGATATTCTAAGAAAGGTATCATTTTGCATCAGCTCAAGTATGAATTAGAACTTCTGAAGAGATTTGAAGTGAAGAATTGTAAGATTGCTGTCACACCTTCTGATACAAATCAGAAGCTGGATTCTGACTCTGATAGAAAGGATGTGGACGCTACAACCTTCAAACAGTTGGTTGGTTCTCTGAGGTATCTGTGCAATACCAGACCTGATATTTGCTATTCTGTTGGGATGGTTAGTAGGTTCATGAGTAAACCTAAGTGGTCCCATTACCAAGCTGCTGTCAGGATTTTGAGGTATATCAAGGGAACTCTGAAGTATGGAGTGTTGTTTCCTTCTGGAAGAAAGGATGAGTCAGAACTTTTGAGTTATTCAGATTCTGATTGGTGTGGAGACAGAGTTGACAAAAGAAGTACATCTGGGGTACTTGTTCAAATTTCTAGGAGGTCCCATTTCTTGGTGTTCCAAGAAGCAACCTGTTGTGGCGTTATCAACCTGTGAAGCTGAATATATTGCAGGTGCTGTTACTGCATGCCAAGCTGTGTGGATTCTGAATCTGTTGCAGAATCTGAAGATTAAAATAAACAAACCTCTGAAGTTGATGATTGACAACAAGTCTGCAATCAATCTTGCCAGAAACCCAGTGTTGCATGGGAGAAGCAAGCATATTGAGACAAAGTATCATTTTCTGAGACATCAAGTTCAGAGTGGAGTGTTAGAAGTTGTACACTGCAGCACTCAGAAATAGTTGGCAGATGTTCTGACGAAAGCTATCAAGACTAATCAATTTCTCAGACTAAGGGATGGAATTGGTGTTACAAGTTTTGATGGAATATGAATTAAGGGATGGTATTAGAAGTAATTCATATTTATTAATTGTACTATTTTCTTAGCCCCTAAGTTTGTTAGAGGGTATTTTAGTATTTTCATCTTATTCTAGTAACCCTAGTTTTAACTTATAAATATGGTAGTAATCATTGCAATTTGTGTAGTGTGTGTAGCCGTCATTCTCTTAATAGAATATTTCTCCTTTCATCATTTATTCTACTTTTGCACCAACAAATAACACTATTCACCGACCGAATTTTTTTCTTGACTTTCTAAAACATTCGATTTTCACAGTAAATACAATCTCCAAAATATATTTTCTTTCTATTTATTAACAAAGATTTTAAGTCACGTTTACAACAGATCAAATTTTAAAACAAATAAAAAAAAGAAATTAAATTTCTCACTTCTTTTTTACCTGTAGGATCAATTTTCTCCTTTTTTTTTTTTTTTTTTCTTGGTGTTCTAACCCTTCAATGACTGTTTCCATTTAATATAAGTGAGATAATATGTTCAAAATTTTCTCTATATAAAGAGAGTCTAATACCTAAAATTTCTCAAAAAATCATCCATAATAATATAAAAGAAAAGTTTCACTCTAATCAAAATAAATAAATAAAACCACAAATACAATAAATCGACCCATACATAATACACATCCATTACCATCTATACTTCTCCATTTTAAAAATATCTATATTTATTTTTAGATTATACTATTTTACAAAACATTACTATATAGATAGATACATCAAGTATACATTATAAACAAGAAAAGCATGATATGGACACATGATATTATTGATAGTAGTCCACGAGCTTCTAGATCATAGTTTGCCTCACCTCACACACACAATTAATTGCCTATGCCGACCTTAAAAAAGTACCGACTTTTATAGTCCCATTCAAAATTCAAAACTGAACCACCTATGGTCCTTATTTACGACTTCACATATGTCATTCCTATATTCAATAACTGTTCTTTTCAAACATTAACTATCAATCGTGCCAAAGGGTCGTTACATTTATAATAATTACGATCTTAATCAAATTAATTAATGGATTAGTTGAAATTTCTGACCTCACCTTGTTTTACTAATTCAATTTATAATCTATATCCATTTTTTATACTCTCTCTCTATCTCAAAATGAGTACCTCTTTCTTTGAATTCAAGAAACAAGCCTCTTTCTTCCTCAAAGAGAAAATCAAAACCGCTAGATTAGCTCTAACAGATGTCACCCCTGCACAACTAATGGTAGAGGAGGCAACTAATGGAAATCCATGGGCTCCAACTACTGTAACGCTAAGATCAATTTCAAAAGCTGCTTTTGATCTTGATGATTATTCAAGGATTATAGAGATCCTACACACAAGGTATTTCATTTTATTTTTTGAGTTCTAGATCGTGATTCTGAGGATGATGTGTGGAAATACTGTGATTATGAAACAGATTGGTTAAATTTGAAAAGAAGAATTGGAGGGTTTCTTACAATTCTTTGATTGTGCTTGAGCACTTGTTGACACATGGACCAGAAAGTGTAGCGGAGGAGTTTCAGAGTGATAAAGATGTTATTAACCAGCTGAATTGTTTTCAATTTATTGATGAAAACGGGTACGTTCTTTGGTTTCGATATCTGTTTGTATCTGGTGTTGTGTCTGGTGTCTGTGTATGGGTGTCCTGATACAAGATCATGAAATGCTTTGAGAATTTGCAGGTTCAATTGGGGCCTAACAGTGAGAAAGAAATCAGAGAGAGTAATGAAGCTGTTGGAAGAAGGATCACTTCTCAAGGAAGAAAGAACCCATGCTAGGAAACTATCAAGAGGCATACAAGGTTTTGGAAGTTTCAATCAAAAATCAACTCCAGCACAATCCATTCTACGTGAGAAATCATTGCCAACAACACTTGGTAGAAGTAACTCAGACTCAAACAACCAAGATCAGGAAAATAACTCCGCTTTCGCATCTTCGAATAGTGCGAAGAAAACCATGAGATACCAAGATGCTGATGATGTTGGTAACAATCAACTGCTTCAGAAATCTGATTCAAGTTCTAAAGAAAACATGGAATGGAAAATGAATGGAGAGTCGCAATCACTTTTGGACTTGGGAGAGGATGATTATTCTAGGATTGGGAGGTTCAAAATAGAAGATGATCATCCATTTAATTCAACTAAAGAAATGCATAGTTCTGCATCATTGCTTTCTGCTAGAGATGGAATACTACAAGGGTGTTGATTTTTCAAGTAATTTAGATTTGAGTTACCATCAAATATTGTACATGTAATCATGTATGTGGTTTATTATTGTGTTTTTGGTAGAACCTTCCTTCAATGGTTTATAGTTTATTATTTTTGCTGAACTATAGAGATAGATATTGGCATGTAATGTAAACCCCTATATTTACAGTTCACTCTGGGTAAGGACTGTCTTACACCTGTTTAAGTGGAAAAAGTTTCATCAAGTTCTAGACCATTGAAATATTTTGTGAACATGTTAGGATTCTCCCTTTTAGTTGGGCAATTCTTCCTCAACATGGGCCAATTGGTATCAAACAGAAATATAATGAAAGAAAGAAAATTAAAAACCATATTAATCAAGAATAAGGAATGCAAAAGGAATACAACCAAAAAACAGGGAAATGCAAAAGGTATACAATCATCTATATCAGAAGTTATGATAATTAATTTTTCATAAAAGATTAAAGTATTAGATTGAGTCTTTCTTTGCTATGCTTCAATATGTATTTATCATATATTTATAAAAAGGTTAAATATGTTTTTAGTTTTTCGTTTTTGTAAATTTTTTTGTTAAAGAATCATTTCTTTAAGATTTGTCGAGATTTGTCTTCAACGCTTTTAGTCTGTGACGTTAGATCTGAATAACGGTAGCTCATTTGACAGTACAAGTGAATCTCTTTTACAATTTAAAGAACGTCAGCTAAAATTTTATTGGGTTTAAAATAATTTACCACTTCTTTAACTTTCTTTTAAAAGTATCCAGAAACTCTAAAAACATAAAATCGTGTAGTTCATCTTCTCAACACAATCCTTTTCACCATTGATGCATGTTGTTGTTAACGAAGGTTGATGAACTCAAGTAGATTTGTATGAAGGTTAATGTGGTCGTTGAAGTAGGTCAGTCCTTGAAAGTTGTGGAAACTACTTACAAGTCAAACAACCTAAGTCTCCAGCCAAATAACCAAATCTTGCTAAAGAAACTACTTACAAGCCAAGTAACAAACAATAATTTTGTAAGTCATTCTATGGACATTACTACTTAGTTTTATTTATGTTTCAGTTATGCTAAAATTGTGATATCATTATAGGTCAAAAGCATGATATCAAAGAGGAAATAGGTTAATAAAGTTCTAGTTGTGAAAAGAAAGAGTGATAACTTATGACATTGAAGACAAGGAACTTTGTAGGATCTAGAAAAAATTCTGATGATCCATTTTTGATTTCTGAAGAAGAACCAAAACCACTAGTTGGTGTCACTACTAAGAGAATGAAGAGTTGGAAGGAAATTCAAAAGGGCCTCTTACTCAATGATGCAAAAGAAGTTGAAGTTCTGTAGTTTATGTATATGTAGTTTATCTACTTTGCCATTTTGTGTGCTCTAAGTTGTGTATTTTAGCATTATGTATCAGTGGTGTGTACTTTGATATTGTGTATCAGTGGTGTGTACTTTGGAATTATGTTATTTTCTACCACGTGTTGTACGTGTTTTAGTACTATAATCAATGTATGAAATTAAGCCAACAATATTGTCAAAGTTTGATAAATGTATCTGTTTTGGCATTTTTTTGTCATATGTTTCTGTGTTCAAATTTTGATTGGTTTCCTAATATGTACATACCAGTTACTATGTAAAATTTGTGCAAAATTTAACTGTTACTATACACCAATTCCTCAGTACATAGAAACACCAAAGTTTGTGCAAAGTTACACCAATTTACAATTCCATAGCATGTTTCTATTTAACAAGTTAAGGCAATATTGGGACAACATTTCATCTGATCACTGCAAACATTTAACCGTGAACATTAAACCAACATTTCTAATTAACAGGTTTTCTAATGATCAATGCAAACATCAAGCCAACATTTAACTGTTACTTTGCAAAAATTTGTGTCAACCTTAATTCAATTTAATTACCAAAATTTGGTAACGCATAGAAAATACACATTGAACAATACACCAATGCCTTTTAACTAACACAATCCTTCAACATTTACATTTGAACAGAAAGTACAAATAAACATTAAAGAGGTTACAATAAGTAACATTTTCACATTTCCAAATGTTTCTCTAATTTCAGTTTGTTCTTGAAACTTTTGTTCTTCTTATTTGTATCTCCATACATCTCTTTCAAATAACCTACAACTTCATTCATGTTGCTCCCATCTCGTTTTTAAATTTTGCTACCATATCTTCATTTCATATGAACAAATTACAAGTGTCATCACCCCTCTAAAATGGACATTTACAAAAGATTTATTATGCACATGGTCGATTTATTAAAAAAAAAAAAGACAAACATATTAAAAAAAGTCATTAATAAATATAATAAAATATTGATTACCATTTACCACGGATTGTAGAGTCACCCATCCAATAGTATCAATATGGACAATTTATAAAAATTCAAAAGTTGCACCTTTTCTACTAGTTTTAATAAAAGGGTTTACTTGTGCCTAATAAACATGAGTACATGACAACATGCACTATCGATTTATAATGAAAACTGATTGTATATCAGCCAAGATATAATGGTTCAGTTGATAAAGAGTTGATTTATATTAAGAAATTATAAATTTAACTCTTATTATAATAGGTGATTTGTATTTATCTCTATAAATGTTTTTTAATATCTTATTTATTCACTAAAAAAATCTGATTATTAAATTATAAAAAAACATTTAAAAAATCTATTTTTTATTTTCTATAAATTCTAAATTGAGCAACCAACGTCCCTAGTGACGAATTCACATACTAGTGCGTGTTAGGGTATTTAACAAAACATCATATACATATTAAATTAAATTAAATTAAATTGTCTATAGCAAAGTGCAAGCAGCACATATGTCATTCCTATGTTTAATTAACTGTTTTGTTCAAACATTGACTATTAATCGTGCCAAAGCGTCGTTACATTTGGTAATTAGTCTATAGATCTTAGTCAATTTAATGGATTAGTTGAAATTTCTGACCTCACCTTATTTTACTAATTCAACTAAACCTAAATCCATTTTTCTATCCTAAAGAAAAGATAGAATAAAATAACACTACTAAAATGGCTACCACTTTCCATGAATTCAAAACACAAGCATCTTTCTTTCTCTGAGAAAGTCAAAGCTGCTAGATTAGCTCAAAAATTATATGATTGTGATGTTTTTAATCTTTGATTACACTTGAAATGATTTCATATTTTGAATTGAAATCTCTTGAAAAAATTAAAAATGACAAAAGTGTAGATCTTTTAATTTTTATTATTTTTTTAAGATATTAAACTCCACGTAATATAAATGTGAAATTCATTCACAAAATTTAAATATTTTAAATAAAATAATTAGTAACAAGTGTTGAGAAAGTATTCATTATGTTAAGGATGTTGCTCGATAGAAGTAAGGAGATGTCGAAATATTTAATATTGTTGAAATTTCGAAGAAGCGTGTTTTGACAGAAATTTTGACTTAACTTTATTTGTTTGTTTTAGCTGAGTCAATTAGATTAGTTAGAGATTGTTTGGTGTGCAAGCAATCTCAACCTATAAATAAGAAGATACCCACCTTATTATTGATGTAACGTAGTTGCATAGAAAATTTGAATATAATTTCAGTTTGAAACCAAAGAGAAATATTTTTCTTCTTTCTCTTTTTTCTAAAATCTTAATTTATTTTCTTCCTCAATTCATCTTTTGTTTTCTTCTTCAATAATTATTGTGCAGCACATATTCATCTTGCAAACAATATTTGTTAATTCACTTGAGTAAAGAGTAAATTACAAGAAGAGTAATCAATAAAAAAGATTGATTTTTGTTCGTCAAAATTGGTTTAGAATTTTCCACAGGTTTGATGTAATTCCAAAAACAAAATTAATGATTATAATTTATATTAAGATATATAAATTTGAAATCTAAAAAAATTGAAGTCTAAAATTGCGACGATTGAAAATGTGAAAAACACAAAAGGGAGAACAGGTTAACTTGTGCTGATAATTACAAATTTTTCCTTGTTTTAAATGAAACTCAAATCAATTACAAACGATAAATCATAAAAGAATATAGATTAAACATACAAAATTTTTCCTGATTCACCCCATTTAATTCAAAGTTGCATCCAATCCTCTAACACAAAGAGATTTTATGAAACATATTACAATATCACTAACATATTTAATGGTCTAATTAACATATATCTTAGATTTAATCACTGACCCCAACTTGATCTCTTTATGGTCTCAAAAAACATGACTAACACTTAACCCATTTGATAAATGCAATAAAATAACAAATACTTGATAGACTGTTTAAAAATATAATTCAAAAGAGGATGTAAACAATTCTAAGCCCACATTCAAGTGTTTGAATATTTAAACAAAAAACATATGTAATGAAATCTCTTGCTTGCTTATTTCTATCCGTAGAACTTTTTTTAGATGTTCTTTTTTTGAAAATTCTTTTCTTTTCTTCTAAAGCTGTCTCTCTAAATCTTTTTAATAAAGTTGTTTCAATGTTGTTAAGTGTGATTCAATGTCATAAATAAATTAGTGAGAAATTTAGTATTTGTATAACTTTATTTTCGTTGGTAAATGAGATGTTGTGATCTTTATACTATTGCAACAAACTTTTCACATCCATTTTACTTATAACATATCTTCTCGCACATAATGTTGTACCTTTTGTTATATATAAATTTTGTATAATTTTATATTATTGCTTAGTTGTCTCTCAAATTTAAATGTTACGAAAAAAAATAATTAAGTTGTTTTTAAAATAATAAAATATAATTTTTAAAGAATAATCTCGCATAATATAATAACTTTGTTATCTTTTAAAGGAACAAACAATAACTTATAGCTTGAAGTTGACTAAAGGAACGAGATGGTGGCTTGACTACCATGATCAGATGTTAACATTAAACATATGTATAAACATGTACTAGAGCGAATCATCAAGTCGTGCACCTAGAGATGTTTCAACTAGTGTATTATCAAAATGTTTAATGATCACTCGTA